CTATCCACTCAGAGAGTCCAGATCTGAATCACATTCAGATCTAGAAACCTCCTAATGAGATTAGGAGAAAGCTAATCTAATCTGCAGATAAGATAGGGGTTAATCCTTATCACCTAAAGAGATGTTTTGATCCAAATAAGATTTGGATCAGCAACTCCTAATTGGATTAGGAGCTGATCCTTTAGGGTTAAAACAAATAAGGAGGGGGCGGCGGCTTTAAGAATAGAAATACTCACATTCTCTTGAGTGCTGAAAAAGACAGAAGAAAGAATTAAGCAACCCTGCAGAATTCTTTCTTGCCGCCCTGTTTGCCAGTTCGATCTCTAGTTGTGGGAGAAGTCAAGATTCGATCTTGACATTAATTCTTTGAGAAAGAATAGATAGGAAGTTGTGCTCACGTGCCATCCTGCTATTTCTTACGAAGGACAGAATTCTTGGAGAAGAATATTGCTGATTCTGCTCCATCCTGCACTGCGCCATCTTCAGTGGGAGCAGTCTTTGGATCCTTCCTTGGGCGTGAACACCTTCGTTGAGAGATATTACTTCTCCGTATCAGGTATAATCTTCTCCTACTACTTTTGGTTCAGATCTGGTTCAGTTTATGGTTCAAGATTGATCCTTGAAAATATGATTTTCTAAATAGGGAATGCGGTTCCTAGTTGAAAGAGAGAGAATTTTTTTTTGTGAAATTCGCCCCTTTATTCTACAAGATTTGGGCGTCCATACAATGGACCTCTCATCCCTTCATCCCTCCCACTAGGTTCTCCTTAGAAAGACATTTATTAAGAGCCATAATCTAAACTAGGAAGTTGGCTTTTGTTGGGCTATTGGGATTCCATACTTGCCAATCTGGGAAATTAGGAACACCCCTCCTATCGGGATTAGCAGCCAAAGATATAACAGAGAACACCCCATTAGAGTTCCATTTCCAATGCCACTTATCCTCCGAACTATAATCCAACTCTTGGTTTTGAAGACAAATCAACAGATTCAAAACCTCTTCCACATCCCAATCAAAAAAATTCCTTCGAAATGAGGGAGTCCAAAGAACTGAACCACCAGAAATACTATAGCACTTTGCAATTGAGGCCTTTTGTTTTGAAGCACACTGGAAGAGGAGGGGGAAGGACTTAGCAAGAGGTTCATTTGAGCACCAAGGCTCCTTCCAGAATTTGGTCCTGTTACCATTACCAACCCTAACTGAGACCCCCGCAACCAGAGCTAAAAAGTTCTTCATTATCCCTTTCCATAAAGAGTTACCCCAGTTGGGAGGAGGGTCCCTAGTTCTCCAATTGCCCCAATTCACACCATATTTTTTGGCAATGAGAGATTTCCACCATGCATCATTTTCTGTACAAATCTTCAAATCACTTACCGAGGACGGCAAAATTAAAAGATTTCGGCTTCCTGATACCTAACCCCCTTCAACTTTGGGGAGGCAAACTTGCTCCCAACTCACCAAGTGCACTTTTTTCTCCTCCTCCCAGCCTCTCCAAATAAAACTCCTCTAAAGTTTTTAAATCTGATTTGCAACCTTGTTAGGAATAGAGAATAGAGACAGGAAGTAGATAGGTAAATTGGAGAGAGTACTCTTAATCAGAGTCACCCTACCCCCAAATGAGAGGTATTTTGTCTTCCAAGAGGCCAGTTTCCTTTCCAATCTCTCAATAACCGGGTCCCAAATTGTAGAAGAACCACCACTCACCCCTAGAGGGAGTCCCAAATATTTGACTGGAAGGGACTCAATTTGACAAGCCAAAATATCAACACACTCTAATAAGTTGGAGACATGACCTACTGGGATGATTTGGTTCTTGTTCCAATTAACTTTAAGACCTATTGTCACTTCAAACCAAGACAAGATCCCAAGGATTAACTCCACCTGAGAGGGAAAGGCATCCACAAAGCACAGTGTATCACCTGCAAATTGAAGAATATTCACCTTTTCTCCCCCCGGCACGATTGCAAAACCTTCCCACTCACCTGAAACTACAACCTTCTTACAGAACAGAGTGAGGATCTCCATTACACATATAAATAGAAGAGGAGACAAGGAGTCTCCCTGTCTAAGACCCCTGGAACTATTAAAGAAACCTGTGGATTGTCCATTAACCAAGACTGAGAACTTTGGAGAGGTGATACAAACTTTAACCCAATTTCTCCATTATTGCCCAAAATTCATCTGATGTAACACAAGATCAACACATTTCCAGTTAACATGATCATAGGCATTTTCAGTATCAAGTTTACAAATCAATCCTGGGGAACCTTCTTTTTTCCTGGAATGAATGAGCTCATTGGCAATGAGAATAGAGTCCAACATCTGCCTACCCAGAACAAAAGCACTTTGGTTATTTGAGATAACACTACCAAGGACTGCATTCATTCTCTCAACAAGCACTTCAGCAAGGATTTTGTAGAAGCTATGTAGAAGACTAATCGGCCTGAAGTCCTTAATATTCATTGCACCTTCAATCTTTGGAATGAGGGTTATGAAGGTAGTGCTCAGACTTCTCTGCAAAGAACCCCTCTCAAAGAAATCCTGGAAGACATTCGGAATGTCTTGTCTCACTACATCCCAGAATTTAATATAGAAAACATTTGTAAGGCCATCAGGCCCTGGAGATTTCTCATCAGCCAACAACTTGATAGCTTCTTTTATTTCCTCCTCTGAGAAAGGTCTCTCAATAAGAGTTGACTGCTCATCGCTCAACTGATTAAAAGAAATGGATCTAGGAAAAGGTCTGAAGGACCAATACTCCTTGTACAACTTTTTATAGAAAGCTAGTTGCCACTAGCTTCATATTAGTCTCATTGATACTTACCCTGCTCTCTCCCTCCAGCTTGGTAATTACAGAAGCTCTAGCTCTGGCATTTGCCATTTTGTGAAAAAAGTGAGTATTCCTATCCCCCTCTTTCAGTCAAGCCACTTTAACTCTTTGCCTCCATTTTATTTCTTTCGGCACTGCCAATTTATCAAACTTCAGCTTTGCTTGAGATCTTTTTAATCTGAGCTCCTCAGAAATAGGACCCAATTCTTCAGCTTTGGAATTACAATAATGTAAAGAAGAAATTTAAGTGGCTGACTAAGGACCTTGAAGTTCAATGTACATGAGTAAAGAGAAGTACAAATTCATTGGCAAATGGTCTAGCTAGGCAAGGGGTGAACAGAAACTCTATTTTTTGGGCTTTATTGTAATTGCTTTATATTTTGGGTGTATCTTGGCTGTATTTGGGAGTTAAGAGTGTTTAGCTCCCTTACTACTCTCAATCTGTAATTTTGTCAATCTTTTAATAAAATTTACTGTTATTGATAAAAAAAAAGTTATACCCCATGGTGTCCAATTAATAAGAGCCGGTCGTAAGACTTTATGGTAGTTGGCTTTTAAAGGTTTTCAGCTTTCGATCAATTAAAGGTTATTTTACTTGGCTTTGTTGCAAGGAACCAAGGTATTATATTCTGTCTCCATTTGCAAACAACACTGTGGTTCAGCTTGATATCAGATTCCATTTGCAATTTCAACCATGTATTCAATTAGATAAGACGTCGTTTCCTAACTGTTGGACAAAAATAAAGTCAGATTTCTAGGGCCCACTTTAAGAGTTAAATCTTGATTCCCTTCAAGGTTGATCCTCAAGCATGGTCCTTGTGCCAGATATTGAGAACCAGTTCATTAGTTTTTTAGTTTTCAACACCTTGGCCAGGCTTACCACATATTGAGAATCAGTTCATTTTTATATGGACAAACTGGACAGATTCCCTTTTTCACAAATAGTGTATTAGAAGATCAAATGTAATAGGATAGCAAGCTATGCATAAGATAACAATGATCTGGACCATCTGGCTATCTTAGGGAGAGGCTTCTCAAATATATGATGATTGATACTTTTACTATGGAACTTGACTGACTCTTACCATGATTTATCATAAAAAAAAGCAACAAACAAATTTCATAATGTTACATTAACTGGAACGGTGTATTTGTTGACTTTGTCGCTTCCTTTACCTGTGCAAGGAGAGGAAAATTAAAAAAAAAAAGAAAAATTAGATTATAGAACAAAAAATAAAAAAAATGAAAGATTAGGTCTTGCTTTGTTGCTCCCAGTCATTCCTTGAGGTTATGGTTCCAAGAAAGAGCATTTGCAAAAAGACAACAAATATGATTCCCACCCAGGATCCCTGTGTCTCATTTTCAATAGACAATATTGATATCAATATCAAGCATCAAAATCATTTTCTTTTAGGTTTTAACAACTAAAAAGCCCAAAGCCATGTGTTACAAAAACAGAAACCATTTTGAGTAAGAAGGATGAATGTACACCTTTCCTCCAAGATGAAAGACAAATGCTGATAAAACAGCAGAAGGAATTTCCACAAGATAATATGCTCCAAGATTGACAAGAGTGCCAGTTCTTTTGCCCATCTTCTAGCTATGCCTAATGTTATAGAGATACTTGCTGTTTAATTTAGTTACTAAAATATATAAGAAATCCATTTAGCTGAATTTAAGGCCCCATTTGTTGGTATTTAGTGGGGTAAGTTGATCATGAACCCCGTGTTCATTTGCCGTTATATTGGGTCCTATGGAAACTGAAGATATCGGAGAGTATCAATTACCCAGACCCTCTTGCAAGGTGAATAATCAATTTGCCCACATGCTGATAACATTCTTTGATTCTTTCCCTCCCACCTCTCTCTTTCATCTAGGTAACTTACATCACTCAAGAACGCTGGAACTTCACTTACCTGAACAAGTTTGACTTGAGAAACAGTTGCCCACATAAAACTATTTACCCAGAAGGAAAACTAGTTTGTACTCATCCAATTGGAGAACACATTTTCTTTTGATTAATGGAAAATTTATCCTGGAGTAATTTAAAATTGTACTGACCTGAAAGAATAGACTTTATTCCACCAAATAAATAGGATACTGCTATTAGAAGCATTATAAATGAAACATATCTTACTACTACATTATTGCTGTAACAGTACAAACTGAGACCAAAATTTGTTGCAGTGCAATTTTATTTGTATTAGTACAAACGTAAAAAAATGTAAAATTCGGTTTACTTTTGTTTTGGATTTTACTTTATTCTGTATCGTGTCTTAATTTATTCATTTATACTGGAATCAAACAAAATAAGTTAAAATTTGAAACAAAAATAAGTCATAATTTACACTCAAATCATTTGCACTGCGATGGTTTTGCATCAGTGCAAATTATTTGCATTGCAACCAAACACAACCTAAGAAACAAATGTTTAATCAAACTTGTATTGGATTCACTATTTAAATCATTAGATTATGAAAATTAGATGTTGAAATACATGTTTGATACTTATGTGTATATATATCTTATAATACAAATTTTATGATTGAAAGGTATTGTAAACTTACATAAAACCAATGTTTTCAAAACCAGATTGAACCGGACGGTCAGATTGGAAAAATCAGGAACCAGTCACCAGATTGGTTCTATTTTACCCCAAAATCACTCTTTGGCCAAAAACTGTTGATTTGGTTAGCAGACTGTTGACCCAGACAGTTGACCATCGAACTTTTCGACCCGAATACAGTTTTTGGCCATTTTTTTGGGTTTTTTTAAATTTTTACTTTTTTATTTTTTGTCAGAGCGGGCTGTCCGTTCGGACTGTTCGACCTAAGAACCAGACCCAGAACAATTCCCTGTCCAGTCCGGTTTTAAAAACCTTGCATAAAACTATGCATTGAATAAATTTGAACATAAAAGGCATTAAACATATTTGAGTATTGAGCAAAAGACTAGAAAGAAAGAAAGAAATTGTTCACCTGGTTGTCATCACTGATGTTTCTAACTTTGGATTGGGAAGAAGGCTAGATTGGAGGACCCCTATTTTGAATGTCTAGATTTCCAAGCTATTCCAGGTTAGCCAACAATTTAATATAGGAAAAAATTAACAAAATAGCTTCGAAGTGAAAGAACTGAAATTACCAGACTTGGTGACTAAAGGAATTGGAAGCCTAAAAAATTTGAATACATTTTATAGAGCCTCCTTTGAAGAACTAGTCCAAGAGCTTGAATAAATAAATTGTCAATAATAATACATAGACCTAATAAGAGATGGTATTTGCCAAGGTTGTTGGATACAAGATAGGATTAGCTGAACACAATAGTTGTTCAGCAGGCTGTCATAACACTAAACATAAGTCGGATCCACAACCATTCAACCTTTCAATATGGGTCCCATATATTTTATCACTGGTATGGGACATTACCATCTATCCCACAGCCTACTACACAGCTAAAGCGTTTAGCTAATTCGAATTCGTTGAATACCTTTTGTGGTTAAGCACATGGTGCCAAACAATATAATATGCTTGGCATACATGTAAAATTGTTTGCCAAGGTAGTGGGCCTATGTATAGCCCAGGCAGATGTATATTGTTTTGGCAGCATGGCCCCATATATTTTAAAACTTGAAATAATGTTTTAAAATATAGAGGAATGTTGTGACACTTCCCTCTAACTGGAAACACGAGGCATAGTTCAGATCATATGAGGCATAAGTCTCTTGAGTACAACAAGGAGGTCTAAGCCTCCTTAAGAGGAAGGGGATGAGGAAGAAGAAGATGAAGGATGATATTATCTTTGGTTTTTATGTATATTTTTTTATAAAAGACGTCTTTTATTAAGAAGAATAAAGATGTACAACATAGCTGAAAGCTTTCTTTTCCCTTTTCATTCTTTCCCTTCTCTTCCATTTTTTTCCTTTTTATTTCCCTTCCTTTCCTTTCATTTTTATTTCTTTTTCTCTTTTTTTTGTATGAGGTTTTTGACGTACACCTCCCATGCCTTTTAAGACATTGTCTGAAACAACTTGAAAATTTGGACATTCGAGATGGTGGTTCTCCTATCTGACTTTCTTCCTAATCCAAAGTTAGAATATCAATGATGATTGACAATCAGATGAATAATTTTTTTTATAGTCTTTTGTTGTAGGCTCAAATATGTTTTATGCATTATGTATTCAAATTTTATTCAATGC